ACATCTCCTCTCTCTTTCTCTTTCTCTGTTGGTGGTGGTGGTAGTGATGGTGGTTGTGGATCTTGAATTTGGGTTTGGGCACTGTCCCTGAGCTCTTTTGTTAACGCTCTACCACTTTGAGCCACAACACCATTTCCATTTTTCTGGTGGTTACTTGTAGATGAGTCTCACGGACTTTTCCTGCCTGGGCTAGCTTTGAACCATGATCTTCAGATCTCAGCCTCCTGAGTAGCTAGGATTACAGGCATGAGCTACCAACACCCAGCTTTTTTTCTCTTTCTTGTCCTCCTGCTTCCCACCTTATCTGGGATTGCAGGTGCAAAAGACCACACCCAACTTGCTTTTTGTTTTTATACTGGTACTGGGCCTTGAACTCAGGGCTCCATGTTCTTGCTTGGCTTTTTCTCTTGTTGCTGGAGCTCTACCACTTGAGCCATGCTTCCACATCAGGCTTTGTGGTGGTTAATTGAAGATGAGTCTCATGGGCTTTTTGCCCAAGCTTGCTTTGAACCACAATCATTAGATCTCAGACTCCTGAGTACCTAGAGTTACAGGTATGAGCCACCAGTGCCCCACCCAGCTTTTTTTTTTTTTTTTTTGCCAGTCCTGGGACTTGAACTCAAGGCTGGGGCACTGTCTCTAAGCTTCTTTTGCTCAAGGCTAGCATTCTACCACTTGAGCACAACTTCTGGCTCTTTCTATGTATGTGGTACTAAGGAATCAAATCCAGGGCTTCATGCATGCTAGGCAAGCACGCTGCCACATTCCCAGCCCAACCGAGTTTATTTTGAAATAGTCTCACTAGCGTTGCCCAAGCTGGCTTGAAACTGTGAGCCTCTCATCTCTGCCTCCCATTTAGCTGGGATTACATATAGATACGTGCCATTGTGCCTAGCAAATTATCTCTCATATTAATGTGCTAGGAGGTTTTTCTTACCTTGATGAGAAGTATTTAAAACACTATTTTTATATTAAGATGAAAATACCTATTATGGAGCAGCATGTAAAGTAATAGTGACTTTTTAAAATCAATATAAATAATGAGCAGAGTATGGTGGTACACACCTGTATCACTCAGGAGGTAGAAACAAGAGGATCATGAGTTGAAGGCTAGTCAAGGCAAATTTAATAAGACTCCATCTCATAAAAAAGGGGCTGAAAGCTAGGCACTGGTGGCTCACACCTGTAATCCTAGCTACTCAGGAGTCTGAGATCTCAGGATCTCGGTTGAAAGCCAGCCCAGGCAGGAAAGTCCGTGAAACTTTTTTTTTTGGTCGGTCTTGGGGCCTGAACTCTCGGCCTGGGTGCTATCCCTCAGCTCTTCAGCTCAAGGCTAGCTCTCTACCACTTGAGCCACGGCACCTACTTCAGGCTTTTTCTGCTTTTGTGGTGCTGAGGAGTCGAACCCAGGGCCTCATGCATGCAAGGTGAGCACTCTCCCACTGAGCCACCTTCCCAGCCCCGTGAAACTCTTATCTCCAATAAACCACCAGAAAACCAGAAGTGGCACTGTAGCTCAAATGGTAGAACACTAGCCTTGAGCTGAAGAGCTGAGGGACAGCGCTCAGGCCCAGAGTTCAAGCCCCATGATTGACAAAAGAAAAAAAGGAGGGGGCACTGAGGGAGTAGCTCAGAAAATAGAGCACTTGCCTAGCATGCTTGGTCCTGAGTTCAATCCCTAAAAATAAAACTTCTTTAAATGTCTAGATTTATCCTAGCTACTAGAAGGCTAAGATCTGAGGATTGAGGTTTAAAGCCAGTCCAGGCAGGAAAATCTGATAATCTTTTTTTCTTTTTTCTGTCCGTCGTGGGACTTGAACTCTGGGCCTGGACCCTGTCCCTGAGCTATTCAGCGCAAGGCTAGCACTCTACCACTTGAGCCACAGTGCCACTTCCAGTTTTCTGGTGGTTAACAGCCTTTCCTGCCCAGGCTGGCTTTGAAACTCAATCCTCAGATCTCAGCCTCCTTAGTAGCTAGGATTACAGGCTGTGATAATTTTATCTCCATTTAACCATCAAAAAAGCCAGTAGAGCTGTGAGTCATATAATAGAGTCCTGAGCACAAGTGTGTAGGTCCTGCGTTCAAGCCCAAGGACTGGCACAAAAATAATAAAGCCGGGATAAGATTAAGTAGTTGGGTATGGTGGCACATATCCCTGGGGAGGCAGAGGCAGACCCTTGAGTGTTTGAGGTCAGCATGGGCTACATAGCAAGACATATGTCTCAAAATAGAAAGAAAATTACTAGTATGCAAGGGAAATTAAAGGAAAAGTCCTCCCATTCATATCCCTGCTACTGCGTATAAATCACTTAATTCCCATTTCTTCCACGTCGCCCTGAGGCTCAGATAAGGCTGTTGCTTATTGTGAATGGCTTCCATTTTGTATATATCTTTATTCTTTTTTTTTTTTTTTTTTTTTTGGTCTTAGAGCTTGAACTCTGGGCCTGGGCGCTGTCCCTCAGCTCTTCAGCTCAAGGCTAGTACTCTACCACTTGAGCCACAGTGCCACTTCTGGCCTTTTTTTCCCCCTACTTATGTGGTGCTGAGGAATCGAACCCAGGGCCTCACGCATGCAAGGCAAGCACTCTACCACTGAGCCATCTTTCCAGCCCCTGTATATATCTTTAGCTTTGAGAAACCTGACATAGTAGACACCTAGGAACCAGGGTTTTGTGGTCATGTTAGAGACTTTATAACAAGTTCCCTTCTACGAAACAATGATTTGCTTCCAAAAATGAACCAGTTTATTGGTTGACACAATTTATTCACTGTGGTATCACTCATAGACTTCTCACCAATACCACTCCCAGCCTGTGCACACTTCATTGAAAGGAATTGAAGTTTGTCAGATTGATTGCCCAATTTAAAGGGTGGGGGGGAGCTACTGGGGAGCTTGCAGCTCATGCCTATAAACCTAGCTACTTAAGAGACTAAGATCTAGAGCATTGCCGTTCAAAGCCAGGCAGAAAAAGTCTTGAGATACTATCTCAAAATAACCAACAAAAAAGCAGGACTGGAGGCCTAGCTCAGGTGGTAGAGCATCAGGCTAGCAAGAATGAGGCCACAAATTCAAACCCTAGTGCCACCATCTTACCCTGCCACTTGTTCTAGACAGATATGTTTTGTTTCCCAACACCTGTTCACCTGTATCACGTTCCCATAACTGTCAGGCTCTAATGAGGCAGAGCGTGTGACTCTCCACACCAAGTATCCCTTAAACTGACTCAGTCTAGTGGGGTCTCACTTTCATCAGCCCTGGCCTTTGTGGACTGTGCAGCAAATTGCCTCAGTTGAATGTGTCCTTCCTTTTTCCCCACAGACATAACCAGTGCGGTGCAATCCAAGCGAAGAAAATCCAAGTAAACAAGCCGGAGGGTGACTTGATACTTGTAAATGTGTGTGAATTTTACAAAGAGTAATTTTGAGCTGTGACTTTTTAAAATCTATTTCTGTACAGTTAGTCATTTTAATAATGTGACCCTTTTCCTAGTCCCTGCCACCTGTTTTTTAAAGTGCAATGGGGAAAAGCAGGGTTGTTTGGCCCTTTTGGTGTTACAGGATGAAATTCAAGGTTTCTAAAATGTTGCCATGTATTGAGAGGAGCTAATGCCATCATAAATGTTAATAGTTTTCACATTTCCTAAGCAGCCTAGAGTACAGGGTGAGCATTTTTAGATCTTCTAATGATGTCTTGTGCTGTGGGAAGTACTGTGTGTGAATAGCAGTAGCAGGGCAAAAACAATCTTGTCATTTGAAAATGTTGTAAATAATTTTATTATATAGTGTTTTGGATGTATTTGTTGTAGAAATGGACCAGTGAATAAAGAGAATCTAAGGGGTTTGTACAATGTGAAATACTGAATGTGTTAAATAAATGTCATTGTTATAGAACATACAGGTATATTATTGGTAAGGATTTACTGGGAGAGTAAACTCTTCCTTTGGACCATGAGTCAATACAAACCTGTGACTCCAAACACACTGCATCTGAAAATCTAGAAAGTTGAGGACAATATATATAATTTTATCACTTTATACATCTTTTCTCTGTGCACCTGTTTCCCAACACTAACTGTGTTTACATCCACCATCCAGAAGATAAACCCAGACTGACAAGATTATTTGCACCAGCATCAAGAATTTAACCAGTTTAAGCCAGGAGTTGGTGGCTCATACTTAGGATCCAAGCTACTCAGGAGGCTGAAATCTTGAGATTTGTAGTTCATAGTTATCCCAGGCAGAAATGTCTGTGAGATTATTTCCAATTAATCAACAAAAAGATAGATTAGAGGTATAGTTTAAGTGGTAGATTGCCAGTATGAGCAAAACAGCAGAGTGAGCGTATGAGACCCTGAGTTTTAGCCCAGTATCTTTAGTCTAATTCTGTAGCTCAATGGGCAGCTCCCACATTAAAAGGGTCACTTTGTATTATACACTGCAGAGCTGTCCACAATATCCTACTCTCATCTGTTGCAGGTCTGGGAGTGGCTTATGGACATGTCCAGGTTTGTTTTTTTTCCTCTTTCCTGGTTAAATTCTTCATAGTCAGTATAGCCTCTAAAACCAGATGTTTCTACCCTTCCCTACTTTCAGTCTTCTAAGAATTTCAGGGCCTGAGGTTGTCCTGTATCAGCCTCAGCTCTAGCCTTCTGCCATTATTTCCTAGAGGTAGATTTATACTTTCCTCTCCTCCAGTGGCTCCTTCCCCTTGTGCCTGAGACCCAGTGCCTGAGACCAAAAGAATGAGTCAATGATAGCAGCGCTTATTCCCATCTCTATTTCAGCTATCTTAATATATGTTATAAATGCCCCCTAAAAATAGCGTTTATGAGTCAGGCCCCTTTGTCAGACTCTGTTCTCTGAGCTTATTTACCTTCTTCCCCTCCTGTGATATACACACCAGAAACAAAGCCAACATAAAAAATACCCTATGCCTCGACTGCTTGAGATTGCACGGTGCTTCACATATTTTAGCTCCACTCAGGAAGAATGCATAATGTGCTTTAAATAGATTTTTATTGGTTTTTCTTTATATTAATTTTCTCTCCCATAGAGGAATAATTAGCATTGCAATCTAACAATCAGAATCCTGTTACACACATACACAGGCATGCCATATGACCAGGTCGAGGTGGTTGTGTCCTTGAATCTGTCGACACATCACAACATGGTCAACCAAAGTCTTCACTTCAGCCAGTCTCAACATAAAACACCCAACAGAGATGCACTCAACTTGCATTTGGAACTAGGTGGCAGGGTAGGGAGAAAATTATTAGAAGCAGGCTATGGTTTGTCTGCATTCAGTCCCTTCACATAAAGCTATGAATCCTGGGAGGCATCCAAGAACCCTGGTGGGGTCCTTGTTGCACCTAAGACTTTATGGGTCATAGCAAGTTGATTGGAAGGTTTCAGGCAGGGGACTGGGCAGCAGGCATACTCCAAAACAGCACCAAACTGCACTCATACACACATGGTGCCTGCTGGGGCCAGACTGACAAAGGCTAGAAAGTGACATCCAGCTCAAGAGAACCACTTAGACTTATAGGGGAAAGCTGGAAGTCACCCTTTGATGTAACTGGGACTCACTCTAGAAACAGGTCCCTCTGACATCCTAAGTTTTGGCAAAGTGCTGGTAGTACTGACATTAATACAAACTGGTACAAACTTCCCTAGATCTCTGAAATCAGTCAAGACAGACTCTCTAACCCCCTCCGGTCTAAGGTTGCATAGGACTTTGTGAATTCTGGTTCCCTTGTGTATTCAAGTTCTGTGGTTTACGAAAAAATCCTGAAGCATGCTCAAGGTGAAAGGCACATACACAGTCAATACAGTATGACAAGGTCTGATGCTTCAGGAGTCAGACTAGCAGGAGACTGAGTAGTGTTGGTTCTTAAAAATCTCTACATAATTCAAATATTGCCACACTCCAATGCTACAGAATTTATAGGAAAGTACAAAAAAATGAGCTTTGCAACCAGCCAGGTGAAGAGATTGAAGAGTTCTAGAACTACAGGAGCCTCTAGAAATACAGGTAAGAGGCAAGACCTTCTGAAATGTGAGTCAAATGCCCCATCACTCAGATTCTTCTCCCACCAAGCAGGATCATGGGCACTGCTCAAGACTGACCCTAGGCTCTGGCTGGCAGTGAAAAGTAGGCAAGATGGGCTGGAAGGAATTTCAGCTCTTATAAGTGCTGAAGACCCTAAGCTGGCTAGGAAGTGACCTAAAGGTAGCTTGAAGAATAAAAGTACTATGTTGTAACTGAAGAACTTGAGGATAGAAAGAAGGTTGTCTGATTGAACCCTAGTAGCTAGTGTGGGGTCATTGATCTGCTTAGAGTATGATTTGGGCTTTTGCCGTGGAATAGAAGACCACAACAGGGCTTCTGTCCCTATCCTACCATCCATGGGGATACCTCCTTTCTCCTTTCCCCACATATCATATGAGGCCTAGGGATATAGAATCAGGGAGACAGCTGCTTTTTGCCCTTGGGAATGCAGTATTTTATCCAACCCCAAATTGGAGTTGAAGACTCAAAATCTGGAATTAGGGTGAAGGGGAAGACCTATATTAGTATATAATAGGAAATCTTTAAAGTTTCAAAGAAGAAAGAGCACACACTAGAAAAGGACAGCTAGAAAGAGAATGGGAAACAACTCCGGGCATTTCAAGAGGCTGTTGCTGGTGTCTAAGCCCAAAATTCAGTCCCAGCACAAAAGGAAAGCTGATTGCCCTTGTCCCATATGCCTCATCCAGGGATTCAGATCCTTTCTCTGGATACCTGGAGGGGAGGGGAAGAGGGCCATAGGGCACCTTTCCTTTTCCAACAAACTGGAAAAGGAAAATCCCTGTAGGAGAAAAAGAAGAGGGCCCCTGAAGGCCCTGAGCCTAGACAGGGAAAATTTGGGAACTGAGAGAGGGGCTCTGGCCTCCTACCTAGGAGTGTTTATTAGCCAGTCATACTAATTAAATTAAGACCAGAGGCAAGAGCTTCACCCCACAGCTTGTCCTTCTGAGCATCATTCCTCTGCAGTTTTCCCTTGGGGTATATGCCCTTTCTCTGACCAGAAGCCCTCGCCTGCATCTCCCTAAGCTAATTCTAGCACCTTAGGCATGTGAACAAATAAATGGCCAGGATAGCAGGCCCTTACCCAGCCTCTACTCCTGGAGTGACATAGAAAGGGGAGGTGGCAAGGTATTAAGCCCTTCAGACTCAGGACCTGAGGAGGGGTAAATTTCAGGAAAAGACTTGGGAGGTGTGATTATAGGAAAGGGAAGTCTGGGCTGGCTCCAGGCTCTGGCCTGAGAGCAGGGCTTGTCCTCTCTGAACATACACGATGTCAGCTCCCATTGTGCCCTGCTCCCTTACAGCTTCTCAACCTGTTTGTCCTGTCTGCATCTCCCGTAGGCTGCTCTTTCCCCGGATTCCCCCCTCCACCTTCTCCCTCTAAGCTCACATTTCACTATCCTCTTCTACATACTTTACCTTTCTAGGCCTAAGCAGCTCTTGGAAGTCCAGCCCCTCAGGACAGGGAGAAGGGGAAGACTAGAAGCAAAACCCTGAGCCTGACCCCTGACTAGCTGGCCCAGGCATGGCAGATTGGACTTGGTCAGGGTGAGGCTCAGAGTCCCCTCTCCATCCATTTCTGAGGGAATTGCTAGGAATGAATTGGGGAACAGGAGTAAATATAATGCCAAACACAGGAAAGGGTGAATCCTGTAAGGTAGGAGTTGAAGATGGGATATGGGGTATAAGTCAGATCAGAGCAAGAGAGGCTCCCAGAAATTGGGAGGGGGGGGAGGCAAAAAGCAAAGGTAGGTAGGGAGAGACAGGGATGGGAGTCAGAAAAGCATAGAAGATCAGGAGTGAGGGTGAGGAGACAGGATTAGATGGCGAGTTTAGGAAGGATAAAGGGGGTGGGGGGTGGTCAGAGGTGGATCAGAGGTGGATCAGAGGATCCCAAAAGGGAAAAAAAATCAAGGGAGTTAAGGAAGGGCCACCACCCCTCCGGACCCACGTAAGTTAGGAGGGGTGGTGTCCCAGCCCAGCCGTCTCTGGAGCAGCACACTGGCTGCTGCAGAGGGAACCAAGGGGACACAGAGACTGCGAGGGATTCGTGGCGCGGTGAGGGCACTCAGTAGTTGAACTGGCGCTGGCACGGCTGGTAGATGAAGCTGCCCTGGTGCTTAGGCCGGCGAGGGCGGCTCTCCCGGGCGCGGTTCTGCCGTTGCACCACCTTGGCGCTCAGCGCGCGGCGCTCGGCCCGCTGCCGGGCCCGCTGCAGCCGCCGCGTCTGGCCCGCCTTCTCCAGCAGCACGGCTCGCGCCGGCAGAGGAGCCGCGGCGTGGTGCAGGGCCCGAGGTTCACGGCGGGCCGGCACCAGCTCTCTGCAAGGATAGAGCGGGGGTGGGGGGAGCGGAGCTCTGTCGGGACCCATCTGGGGATGGGGCGCAGGCACCTCCTACTCTCAATTTCCTGGTCAATGGAGCACCTGACATCCAACGGATGGGTACAACCCTTGTCCCGAGTCAAACTGGAAATGCCTCCTCGGGTCTAGTCCCTAGGACAGGTAAACTGGACCAGGAAGTGGAAGCAGGGGCGGGGAGGGGGGCGGGGCGAGGATTAGCTCCAACCCCCAATTTGTACAAGCCCCTGGGCAGCTCCAACCACTAAGCCCTCTGGCTTGAGTCTCTATGCCAGGCCTCAAGCCCCGCCCCTGTGGCGAGGCCACGCCCACACACCAAAAGCGCCGCCCACAGCCCCCAACCCGCCGTCCACACCCTCGCCTCCCCTTCCCACTCACCCATCACTGAGATCGCCATCCGGCAAGGCAGCCTCGGGGTGCGGGGAAGGAGGCCCAGGCTCCAGCACTATGGTGCTGCCGGTGACGTAAACAGACATGCTGGGGTGCTCGATGAGGAGGTCCTCCAGGGGGCTGCTCTGGAGGCGGGCGGGCCCGAGGCCGGGACCCTCTGCAGTAAAACAGGCGGGAGGGGTAACAAACCAGCTCTCGTCCATCAAGGAGGGCGCGGGTGGGGGGCGGCCGGCGGGGAGGGCGGCCCCGGGGCTGGGGGGAGCCGCGTAGCTATCTACGGGGTGCAGGAAGGGGGAGCCATGCGGAGGAGGGGAAGCAGCGGGGGGGGGGGGGGGGGACACACACATACCGGACACAGGGGACAGGGAGAGAAAGGGCATCGTTAGTCAGACCCGCAGTCCTTGCCCGTCGTCGTGCCCAGGATGCCCTACGGGACCCCAGGGGTGGGCCCCAATGGTGTGCCGCCAGCAGACCGGAGTCCAGGCTTGCAAGGGAAGGTGACAGGTTCCCCCTCCTTCCAGGGTCATCTCAGTTTGCCCAGTTGACTTGGAGAACTCCAACCCCCAAAGTAGCAATCTCGCCTCCCTTGCTGTGCGCCCTTAGGAGCACTTCACAGGCCCGGGAGTCGAAGTGCGGCCCGTGGTCTCAGCTCTCACCCGGCAGGTCAATGATGAGCCAACCGTCCACTTCATCCTCCTCCGACACGAAGGCGCCGGGGCAGTCCGAGTCTTCAGGAGGCGAGGGGGTGCTGAAGAAGAGGCTGGTGAGGCGCTGGAACATGGTCGAGGGGCGAAGCGGCCTCAAGGGGGCGCCCTACGGCAGTGTAAAATCCTGGGAATCAAAGCAAGGCATCAGGATGACTAAAGTCCACCCCCATGTACCCCCAGCAGTGAAAAGAAGAGGGATGGGTGGGGAAACTCTGGTGTCTTTCTGCATACAGATCCAGGGTTTTCTATAGGAACTTAGGAAGTTATTTACGTGTGTGTATGTTTCGTGTCAAATGACTGTTAATAATAAGTACCCTTCTCTGGGCTCTAATAAGAATTAAATGAGCTGGGAGCTCATGGCTCACACCTGTAATCCTAGCTACTCAAGAGGCTGAGATCTGAGGATGGCAGTTCAAAGCCAGCCTGGACAGAAACATCTGTGGAACTCTTATCTCTGATCAATCACAAAAAAGAAGTACAGCCTAGCTGTGGCTCCAGTGGTAGAGCCTTGAGCAAAAGAAACTCAAGGACAGCTCCTAGACCCTGAGTTCAAAATCCCCAGGACTGGCACCAAAAAAAAAAAAAAAAAAAGAACCAAACACAAAGTGTTTGGAACAGTGTCTAAGCACACAATGGTCACTCAGTAAGCTAAAGTTATTCCAAGGTTCTGGAGGAAAATAGAAGGCCTGATATATGACCAGCTGTGTCACAGAAGGTCTCCAAAAGATGGAACATCCAAATTGGACCTTGAAAATACAAGTTCTCCAGGAGGGCTTGAATTGCCCATACTGTGATTATTATCATCATAAAAATATAAATATCCATGTGAGGGTTGCAGATGAAGAAAACAGAGGAAGCCCAGGGAGTAAGGTAACAGTCACATACACAGATTTGAACCTGTGTAGTCAGAGGCAGCATCCACAACCGCTGTGTACACTGTCTTTGCTGGATGTGTGTCTACATTAGGCATTTGGTGACTGGGGCCATAAAGGACTTTGGATTTCATCATGATTTCCTAAACAACAGTCTTTTACCCCAGAGACTAAAAACCACCACAGGAGCCTGTGTGGCTCGAAAAGTGCTGGCAGAAATCCCACAGAACTGCTAGGATCTCACAAGTGAGATTGGGCAAGCTTCATATCTATTTGTCAGATAGGTAAAGTCCCCACCTCCCTTTACCTCCTTTATTTTTTTCCAGGCTCCTGCTCAAGGACAGCATTCTGGCTAGGAGAAAAATGATCAGGTTGCCTGGCCCCAGTGAGACAAGAGGTCAGTGGGAGGTGATGAGAGAGGAAAGGATCTCTCAGGTCCCAACAGCCCTAATGATAAGCACTGAAGATTGGACCAGGACCCAAGCCATTAGCCAGTCCTTAACTGGGCTAAGATGAGGAATGAAGATGTCAAAGTGGTATCTATAGATCTGCACCCATCTGATTTTGTGATCTGAGAGAACACAAGTTAATCCTCAAACACATAACTAGGCAGCAGTGGAGCAGGTCTAGTCTCAAGTCATTGAGAATCCAGTCCAGATTATATACAGGTAGGAAAGCCTGTATATATATCCTTGGACAGCAAATGTCCAAGGATATAAAGATCCAGAGACCAGGGAAGTAAGACAAGATCCGTGGTCCAACCACAGCCCCTCTGCTCAGCCCACCCCCATAAATGTCTGTGGTTCTTGGCACCAAGGTCCACTACATACCTCCCATACTACCCAGTGAGTGCAGAACCTGCTCTTAGCCTCTACAGTTAAGAGACCAACTGAAGAAAGGGAGGTTCAGAGTAGATACTCCCTCCCTGAGGTCAAATAGCCTCTTGGATTTTCTTTCCCAGCATGCCAGCTTCCTGGTTCTCAGATTCACAGCTCTGCTCAAGGAAGAACTATTCCCTTTAATAACTACAACATCTGTGTCCAAAACCACCCCTAGCCTAGTCCATTCTTTAGTAAACCCGAGCCTGGGCATAGGGTTCCAGGTACAAGTTTCTATGCCCACCCATATGGAAGGTCAGCAGCTCCTCTCCACCCCCTTCTACCCCTTGTGAGCAGAGAAGAGGGGACAGCTCAACTTCTGTAATCACCAGCATTAAGGATGGTTGAGTCCCTTCCTAGATGACAGACTTGGAAGCTGGGGAGATAATGAGGATCAAATAGAGAGAACTCCACCTCACCCTCTACCCTTAACCAACATCAGCCCTCCAGAGGCGGGCAGTTAGTGACTCACTTTTCTCTGGTCAAAACAGCTGGGAGAACAACAATTCTATTGGGCTGTAAAGAATGGTAAGGTAGAGGAAATCAGGACCATGAATGAAACACAACCTCCAGAAACCTTCTGGAAAAGGATCAGGGATTGAGGAGTGTAGGAGCCCTATTAAATGATGGGTGCTGAGCCCAAAATAGAGTCCTTCAGTGGAAGAAGAATGTGTAACTTGTTACTTGAATTGAGCTCCTATCATATATTTGTCCCTGGCTATGCATTCATCACTTAATCAGTGAGCATGACTTCCAGTGAAGTACTAATGTTCTCTGGGCCTCAGTTTCCCTTTCCATGAAATGAAGTCACTCTCTCTCTCCCTTTCTCCCTCTCTCTCTCCCTCTTCCCCCTCCTCCCTCCTCTCTCTCTCCCCCCTCTCTTTCTCACACACACACAAGCTCTAGAGATTGAACCTCAAGTTCCCTAGTACTGCCAAAAAAGAAAAACAGAGTTTGGAGGCTGAGTGACATCAACTAAAGCACTGCACACAAGCACAAGTCCCGGATTAGGTTGTTATTATGTTAGTCCTTCTGGGGCGGAGCCTGAAGCTAGAGAGGGGATTCCACTACCATCTGGCGCTGCCCTAAGGACTTGGATCTCCAGGCTGTCTTCATCCCTGGGCGAACTCCCCCACCCCCCACCAACCTAGATCCAACTGTGCCGCGGGACCCTCTCTCAGGTCGCATGCACAAAGTGGGAGGTCAGAGGCTTAACCCCAGCCCCAAGGTTACCGGGAAACAGCCGAGCGCCCTCTGGCCCCCGCTCGCCTTTTCTGCGTTTCTCACCCTTGGCCCAGCCCAACACAGCGCCCACCGGGTCACCGGAGGACAAGCAACCCAAGCCGCGGGGGGGGTGGGGTGAGGAGGGGGAGGCGGTGCTGGCCTTGGTGACGTCTCAATGTCATATGCAAATACGGTGACGTCACGACCTACCGGCGTGCGGCAGCCAATCGCAAGCGGGGAAAGCAGCCCCAGCGGCCGCCGGCGAAGACAAACAAAGGCCAGAGAGCGGGCGAGGGGTGCAGGGCGTGCCCTGGGGCGCGGGGAGCCCCTCTGACCCCCACTACTCAGGACTCACCTAGGGGCTGGAGCGCTACGGCGGGCGGGGATGCGTGAGGTAGTTGTGCGGCCAGGCGTCCCAGGCTGGCCGGCCGCTCACAGGCTGGGCCGCATCGTGGGGCCGCCGGGCGGGTAGGGGGCAGCGCGAAGCGCACGGAGGCTCGGAGCAGCTGCACTCACCCGCGGGGCTTTGAGTCTGTGCGGCCGGCTGTGGCGGGGCTCACGGCACAAATTGGAACGTTCAAACAGCTGATTGTGACGTCACAAAGGGGCCCGCCCGCCGCGCGTCACCTGCCGGCAGGGCGGCGGCCAATCACGGGCTGTGGATCCCCCCGGTCCCCGCCCCTTCACGGCTCGCTGGCGGCCGGCTCCGTCCAGCCCCGGAGTCGCGATCTGAGCCTTGGGGAGGTGACTGGGGGAAGCCTGGCTTCGTTGTCCTCCGTCACCCGCAGACCTCTCACTGAAGCCTACCCCAACTCCACCTACAGGATCCCCTCTTCCTGCACTGTCTGTACTTGTGTCAACGCCCTGACCTCTTCCGTTCCTTCCCACATCCTTTCGCCGGCTTGACCCCCGATGTGTACGCACCCTTCCTTTAATCTACACCTCGCCCTGCGCCTGCACGCCCCACCTGCCCTTCGGCCTACTCTCCCTCTTCCGTCGCATCCCCTTATCCCTACACAGTTTCTGTTCTCCCAAGCCCCGGCCCCTGTTTTTTACTCCCCCCTCAGCAGACTGGAGAGAAGCGGGGGGGGGGGGGGGGGGGGGAGGGGGAGGGCTGGCCCCTTCCTAAGTTCCAGGGGAGCACCTGAAAATGCGGGAGAGTTCGATTGACAGGAAATGTAGGACTTGGAATTGCTTTGAACCGAGTAAACATTCACCTAGAGACAGCTCAGCTCTGGAATGTTTGCACACCTTATTAACTCCACGTAGTTACCGGAACTAGACAGGAGAGACCCGACAGGGATTACTAGAACTGATTTACACAGGAAAAACAGGTTTATGAAATCTCACCGTTGGTGTGTGAATTCATACTCTCTGATGCATTAAAAAAATTATTTTATTGGGCACCTACTGTTGCCACTCCCAGACCACAAACCAACATTCAACTCTTGTGTGTCAAGCATTGTGCTATGGTTTTTGATCTTCATAACTCCCCAAAACTAGTATCCTTAATTAACAGTTGAGAAAACACTGGGAGACCCTGGTTTCCAACGTAATTAACTATAGCCAATGGCAGAACCAAGAGTCAAACCCGTATCTCCACTCTACTTGCAACAGGTTATATAGTCCAGACTCCTCCTGTCTCTCTCTCCAGGAAGACCTGGTTTCCAGTCCTGATTGTGCTCTAAACTTGCTGTGTGTTCTCAAGCAAGTCATGTTATCTTTGTAGGCCTTAGTTTCTTCATCTGCCATACTTGACATATTCAAGCTTTCTTAAAGCTGACAGTGAGAGTCTTCTAAACTCTCCACCCTCAAGATTCTGCCAATTCCATAATGCAGGTCCCAGCTCTCCTGGATGACACCTGCAGAGAGATCATAAATACCTATTCTCAGAATGTCCAGGGCCAAAGGCTCTTAGTTTTCCTCTCAGTAGAGGAAGGCTAGTGAATGAGACTCTGAGAACAGCCCACCTGGCCAACAAGAGCCAGTCCAAAGGATCATACTATGGGGGAAAAACAAAACAAAACCTGTCCTAGCCTCATTTGAAGCCAAGTGACAACTCAGCCCTAGCAATTAGAGAGGAAGATCCACTAATACCTAGAGGCTTCCTGGGAGAAGGGAAGGTGACATTGTTCTTAGAGTGGTGTCCCCAAAGTGTCCTCATTCCTCACTTGTCACAGATACTTACTGCTTAAACCTCTACCCTCTCTTGAGCTCCTTGCTGACTAATCTCTAACACACCTCTTCTGTCACACCCACTGCTCTAAAACCAGCTGCAAAGCCCCACACTCTGAATGGCATTCACGGTCTTCCGTGATCCAGACCCAGTTCTCTCCAGCGCCATCTCCTCCTCCTCCAGGCAGACACCTTGTGCTTAAGTCAAACTCCTCTTTTGGACTCTTCAACACGCACTAACCTCGGTGATTTTTGTTGACACTTTTTTTTCCAGCCTAGAATGATTTCTTCAAGACTTTCTGAAATCTAGATCTTTCCTGTTCTCAACATTCTATTTCCCTCTTCTCTTAGGGGCTTTTTGTTGTTGTTGTTCTACCCATGTGTCAATGACCAGTTTGATGAATACTCATTTATTAGTTCAATAAACACCAAGTAGCTGGCTGTTGTGTGTTCTTGTAGTCTACCTTCTGAGTAGCCAGGACTTCAGATATTAACTGAATCCAGGAATTTGGGGGCAGCCTGGGTAACATAGTGAGACCATCTCAATTAAAAATAAATAAATAAATGACACTGGGTATCTGTGGCTGGTGCTTGTAATTTTAACTGAGAGCTGAGGATTGCAGTTCAAAGCCAGCCTGGGCAGCAAAGTCTGTGAGAATCTTATCTCCAATTAAACATACTACTACTACTATAACTACTACTACTACTACTACTATTACTACTACTACTAATAATAATAAGCTGAAAGTTGTAGAGCACTAGCCTTAAGAAGAAAAGCTCAGGGACAGTATCTATGCCATGAGTTCAAACCTCAGGACCTGCCCACACAAAAATTCCCAAGTAAAAAAGCCAGGCACCAGTGGCTCACCTGTAATTCTAGCTAGCCAGGAGGCTGAGATCTGAGGATTGTGGTTCAAAGCCAGTCCAGGCAGGAACATTCATGAGACTCTGATCTCCAATGAGCCACCAGAAAACTGGAAGTGGGGCTGTGCTCAAGTGGTAGAGTGCTCGCCTTGAGCTGAAGAGCTGAGGGACAGCGCCCAGGCCCAGAGTTCAAGCCCCAAGACTGACAAAAAAGAAAAAAAAAAAAGAAAAAGAAACAAATGGACACCAAAAAAAAAAAAAGAATCTTGAATGCAGTAAATAAAAGGATGCTATTTTAAAAAGCAGAAGGAAGAATAGGAAAATGATGAAGAGGGAAAATTTGTTCAAAATACTCTGTGTGTGCTGGGCGCTGGTGGCTCACGCCTGTAATCCTAGCTACTCAGGAGGCTGAGATCTGAGGATCGTGGTTCAAAGCCAGCCCGGGCAGGAGAGACCGTGAGACTCCTATCTCCAATAAACCACCAGAAAACCGGAAGTGGCGCTGTAGCTCAAGTGGTAGAGCGCTCACCTTGAGCTGAAGAGCTGAGGGACAGCACCCAGGCCCAGAGTTCAAGCCCCACGACCGACAAAAAAAAAAAAAATACTCTGTGTGTGTACGGAAATCTCACAGCAAAACCTCTTCATATTACAAATGTATGTTGTTAACAAAAAAGATAAAAGAAGCAACAAAAGTTGAAAATATCCTCCAAAAAAAGTAAGAAGCCAGGCATTAGTGGCTCATGCCTGTAATCCTAGCTACTCAGGAGGCTGAGATCTGAGGACCACGGTTCAAAGCCCACCAGGGCAGAAATATCCCTGTGAGACTCATCTCCAATGAACTACCAGAAAATTGGAAGTGACACTGTGGCTCAAGTGGAAGAGCGCTTGTCTTGAGCTGAAGAGCTGAGAGACAGCACCCAGGCCCAGAGTTCAAGCCCCATGCCCGAGGGGGAAAAAAAATTCCCAAGTAGACAGTTGGCATTCCAAAGGCAAGGTCTTTGACCACATACTCTCTCTTCAGCCTGTAGTGGGTGTGACACAAAATAGAATAGAATCAAAGGCTCAATAGTTGCAGCCTGAAGCTCAAGAAGGGTGAATGGCATAAGAGTCAGTATCTGGACAATCCATCCTGGTATAGGCTGAGTGATATTGGACACAGAGTTATGGTTCCCTAACCCCAGAGGACTCTTCATATATACTCTGGTAACCTGAGATGACTCCAATTTACTTCCCAGTATTATCTTCATTCCAACTGTAGGCTGCTAGACCAGATACCAGTCTACTACTGCTGGTCCCTGGGAGTAGATTTAGTATTTTGGTACCCTCACCTCAGCCTGTGGGCTATAAAAAGAAGTAGCAGGTCCTGGTGTTGGTGACTCTTGCCTGTAATCCTAGCTACTTGGGAGGCTGATATTGAGAGGATTGTGGTTAAAGGTCAGCACAGGCAGGAAAATTTTCAAGCCCTTGAACAACAGAGAACTGGGCATAGTGGCACACACATGTTATCCCAGCTATGACAGGAAACCTAAAATAAGCAGGGTGTGGTCCAGATGCATGTCTGGGCCAGAAGCAAGACCCTAAAAATTAACCAGCACTAACTAAAAAGGGCTGGAGAGGTAGATCAGTAGCAAACCCAGGCTCAGTAACACACAATACACGCACACACAAAAACAACAGTATTCTTGGGGGTAATCCTGGAATCTCATTTCCAATCAGATACAAAGTGCTGCTCCTGTGTACATACATGATGCATATTCATAGATACCCATGCATACACTTGAAGACGTCTATGTACAAATATACACAAACACGTATGGATTTACATTCATAGGATAAACAGCTGCCCACGTCCATCTCACCCATGCTCAGATGTGAATATTGCCCAATTTTATGGCCACCGAGATCAAGAGGATACCCTACCATTCCTGCCTTAGGCTTGTCTACACTGTGCCCTGGGGACACTCCACTGCCTTGGGGCCCCCACTTCAAAGGGAAGACATGTGTCAGCTGGGCGTGTTCCTCCCGGGACCTTGAGTATGCTTGAAAGTATGAAGCAGTCTGTGTCCTGGCTGGAGAACTGTTTCACCACTCATGGCCTGCTTTTCTACTCCACCCTTAAGATAGAGGTGGAGGCCTGGCACCGTGGGCTCATGCTTGTAATCCTAGTCCCTCAGAAGGCTGAGATCTGAGGATTGTAGTTCAAAGCCACCCCAGGCAGGAAAGTCTATGTGACATCTCCAATTAAGCACCAAAACAACCACAAGTGTAACTATTTCAGGGTTTCAGCCTTGAGAGAAAAAAAAAGATCAGGAACATGATTCTGGCTCTGAGTTCAAGCCTCAGTATTAAGCCTGGGAAAGCCACTCTCTTTCTCTAAGCCTCAGTTTCCCCAACTTCAAAACAGGCAGCTCCAGGCTCCACTAGCAGTACCCTCTCCCATATCAACCTCTAAATATCCAGGTCTGTTTGTGTGAACTGTACTCAGGGCCCCTATCAGGGAGGAGGACAGCATCAGGACAGATTTGATTTCAGAGAGG